CTTCAGGTCTGCTGCTTTTTTTTTTTTTAAATAATAATAATAATAATAATAATAATAAAAAGGACATAGAAAACACCAGTTTTTAATTTCACTTCCAGAACCAGGGCTGCAAAGGAAATCTCCTTTGTTTTGTTATTTATATGCTGTCAAGTTTTGAAGTTTTGAGTTTTAGAATTTTGCAATTTTTATTTCCTGCTTTTTAAAGGAAATAATTGCTGAGATGGAGTTCACCAGCTCGTTCCAGGAAGGCTCCCCTGTGGTCTTAATTTATGGACAGGGAATGCTTTCTGTGTGCCATCCATACACTGCTCTAAAATGGGTTTTAAAATACGTAACTCAAGCTCTTGAGATGGGCATGGTTGTGACCACAGTTAGTCCCAGCTGTTGTCAGTCCAGGCAGTGACTGGATTCAGCTCCAACCTGAGGTTTGATGAACTTACACGTTGGCATAGAGTTTAAAGGAGTATTAAATTGAGTGTTTTATGTGCATGTAATTTTGCTTTACAATGCAAGCCTCTTAGAGAGTGACTTAGTATCTGGTAGATATTTTAGGTGGGCGTTAAAACAACAGTGTCCATGACCTGTGTGATGTTTTGACTGTCAATATGTTACCTAAATTGAAGTGCACCCCCTTCTTTTGCTGTTCGTATAGCTCATGGTACTGCTGACCTCAGGACTACCTAATGTGTTCTGCAGTATTAACTTTGATGCTGTTGTGGATTCCCCTCCCCCTTTTCTCATAAGTTGCCCCAAGGGTTAAATTTTTTTCTGTTCATGTGTTTTAAAATTCCTCTTCTGCTCTAGGGTAAGGCAACCAATTTTAGAGAAATCAGCCTTGCATTATGATCCACATCAAACATAAAGAGTGTTTTGAATAACTTAATAATCATCACTCTAATTTTGGCTTTAGACTGCTGCTTAATATAATGGAAAAGAGTGATCTTGATAAAAAGTGGTTTAAAAAGATGCATTTATTGTTAATGAAACTCATAACCAAAACCAGATGGGACCTGGATCAAGGGTAAACCTTTAGCGTGCCACTCTTGAGGACAAAGACAAATACGTTATTATTTCTCCAACTTTGTAGTTCTTGGTTTGTCATTCTTAAGGTTGCTCTAAGCCCTCAGATCATATATGCCTGTTCCCATTTCTTGATTCTATAGCATGAAGTAAGAATGGACTTAATGAGAGAAAAATGTTTATAGAAAAGCCATGCTAACACAAACTGTCTCTTAGCTGATCCAGGTCCAAAGAGTTTGAGTATAATAATAATTTTTTAAAGTATATAAGATAATTCAAAATACTAGACAGCTGTCATATTCTCTGTAGCTTTCCTAAATATCCCCAATACTTCAAGGCTAATGAAAGTTTAGAGCATAATTCTGCTTACCTGCTCTGTTAACTGGCCCTATTTAAAGCTATTTAAATAGCTTTAATTTAGAAGTAACTTTGCTATATTGTACCAGTTGCTTTATTATGAGCAGTATTTAAAGTTGAAGCCTAATATTTAATAAAACTGAAAATTGGCATTTTTTGAAATTATGTTGATGCTAACTCCCTTGCATCCTGGTTATTATTATTTTTTAACATTGGATATTGTGTTTTGTCAATAGTATGGGGATTATTTTTTAAGTCAAGCTTCACATATGTACTTTTTGTGTGTATCACAAAATATTTTCAGGTTCTTTTCTACCTAAATTAACAGCACCCAGTTAGCAATGAACACCTAAATATTAACTCCAACAGACAAATTGTCCTGCTTAAAGCTATGAGACATTTAAAGGAGCCCTTCCTGTGTGCTTAGGGGTCACGTGCTTGTCCAGAGGCTTGAGATCTTTAACAGCTCGAAACTCTTGAAGCATAGCTGATAGAAAACTTCTCACTGCCTTAGCTCCTAAAGCAAGTGGCAATTTAAAATGCAATGGGTGTTTGCAGTGCTCTGCTGAGGTTTTCATTTGTAACATAGGTTTTCGAAGTATGTTAAAGTATGAGCTCCTAGTAAGATTGATGCTTTATACTGATAATCTTTCCATTCTTCATTAGAAGTATTGCAGTCATAGTCTTTCATAAATTTTTAATTTTTAAAAATTGAGAGTACATGAATATAATTTATTTTCTTTTTACCTTGTGGTATTCTTGTTCTGACAGTAAGCCTATTTTCCTCAGACTTTTAGCTGAGAAATTACTGTTTTATTCACGTACGTTGGTACAGATTCCCCAGTATTCTGTTAATTTATATAGAAACAGGGTCTTGTGTACAAATGTGTTTGTGGAGAGAAATGTCTAGGGATAAGACGTGTATGGGGCAGGCATCACTACAGCCCTCCACCCACTGATAACGTCTTCTTTTCCAGTTCTGGCAGGTGATCTGTAAGACAGTGACTGAGTATGGATCATTTGAACGAGGCAACTCAGGGGAAAGAGCATTCAGAAATGTCTAACAATGTGAGTGATCCGAAGGGTCCACCAGCCAAGATTGCCCGCCTGGAGCAGAACGGAAGCCCACTAGGAAGAGGAAGGCTTGGGAGCACAGGTGCAAAGATGCAGGGAGTGCCTTTAAAACACTCGGGCCATCTGATGAAAGCCAACCTTAGGAAAGGTAAATACTTAGCAGCCAAATCCTGGAAAGCTGCTTGGTGTCTGCCCAAGGCCACCCTATGTGGAGGTGTGGGACTGGAACATGCTGTGTATATTCTTTTTCTAGATCTCTTTCTGATGTGAAATTAAGTGATGTTCTGGGCTGTAGTGTCAATCATGTCTTAAAAGCGTGAGTGCTGGTTTTGAGTGGTGCCTCTTTTGACCCAAGACTGGAATATTGGAATATTTGAATAGTCTTCGTTTACACAGGTCCCTTCGTAGACACTGGTGCAGTTACAGATGTGCAGGTGGCTGCTGCTTGAACTTTGGCTGGTGAAGAGTAAAACTCAGAGGTTCTTAAGCATCATCGTAGTTTTTTTTTTTTTTTTTTTTTTTTTTTTTTTTTTTTTTTTTTTTCCTGCGATTACTAACTGGAAGGGGATTTCAGGACATGGATCTGACATGAGATCAAAGATTTGTGATGCAATTTATTGTGGTTTATTTTCTGTAGAGCAAAGTAATATTTAACAGTGAAAAACTTGCTGATTGTAGTTGTTAATTTTTGCTATCCTTGAGTATTTTTGGTAAAGGAAAGGAAAATTTAGGCAAGTTTATAAAGGGGAAAATATAAACAAGTGATTTTCTACCAAAATTAAATTGATGGAGTTTTAACAACTTTGCCTGTGTTGGGCTTTGTTGTCCCCACAGGGCAGTTACTATGTGGGGTATCCCGTATGCCTCACAAGGGTCTTTATTTTGTGATTGAATAACACATAGGAGTCAGATTTTTTGGGTTTTGCTAAGCAAAGAATAAAAATGCCATCTTTTACCAACCACGAATATTAAGTAGAGAAAGTTAGGAGGCCGAGGAATTTCATTGTGTTTGATGCATAACATTTATCATACATACAATCATTTATTTTTTCCTTGGTTTGGCGAAAACAAAGAATATATTGATCCTGAAATAAACAGACACAGCAGTCCGTATTGTTAGATCTTTATCTATTAAAAATGGAAAAACAGCACTTCAGCAAATTCTTTGGCCTCTACTCATGATTACCCTATTTATTGATTGTTTGCCAAGAATGTATGCATCTTTAAGCCAGGGCAAGAGCATTAAAAATATAATTTATTATGGCTTTTCAAACAGAGTGCATTAATATTGTACTGTGTAGCACTGAGGCTCTATAAAAAAGACTTTCTGACGCCTGCAAACACAAGTTCCATAAATTCCTAAATAGGAGATTTCAGCTGTCTCTGGTATTATGTGATATTTGCACAGCAAACTTTAATGCCAGGACAGTTTTAGACAAGGATTCTACAGACTCCACTGCTCCTTATGGCAGCCGTGCTGTTTACACAGGCTCATAAACCTCCAGCAAAAGCCTCTAAGACTGCCTTCAGGTTTAAATCATGTGGTATTTTTAGCTTTCAGCAGTGACCAGTACTCTCCCTTTCTAATGCAGGAAGGCTATGAAGTTGCTGTAGTTGGAAGTCTGGCCAAGCACCAGCTCGAATAATCAGGCAGTCCAGCGAAGGCTCCTGTTTAACGTTACTCCCTCTAAGAGGAGGGCCACCGTGACAGTTCTCAGACGACCTAGCACCAGCTTTGTAATTAGATGACCCTGTTGCTACCTTATCTGTAGCCACCTTTATTATCTATAAGGCACCTTTAAATTTGATCAATAAAACACAGAGTCAACCCAGACTGTTTCTGTGGTTTGAAAAGGTTTCAGTTATTTCATAGAGCTGAGGTCTGAAAAGCTCCCTGCTTGAGACCTCTGTTTGATTCCATGAGAGGAAAAACCAATATACATGTTTTTGGCTTGTTAACCCAACTCCATAGATACCAGTAGACAGGGAGAAGGAGCCAGAGCAGGATCATCACATTCCTGCTCAAAACCTTCAAAAAAATGTATTACATTCGAAATTCCAAATCTTAAAAATACAGTTTAATTGTAGAAGGTTCTGAGCTTAATACAAAAAGCAAAAAATTCTAAGCCTTTCAGTAGTTTTTTTTTTTTTCTCTTTAAATCTTATTTTTCATGTGCATGGTTTCTGTTTGACAGGTGCTAGATAAAAATTGTGGCTAAGCTGAGAAAGCACTAAAAAAAGGGGGGGGGCTTGGGTGTTTTTATTTGTTTAAGAGATTTTGCCAAAATACCTTCAAGCCAAGGAAGAAATCACCAGTTTGCATATTGCTATTTTTGCTGCGGTCTCCCCAAGTTCTCTTCTGATCCCTGACGGGTTCTCTCTCTGGTATAAAACAGCTGAATGAATGACAAGAATATTGGCAAGCTCTGCGGCTTGTTTTTCATGCCTAGCCTGCTGGTACTTCCGAATGAGTTTGTGAGCTTTTCTAAGTAAACCTAAAGGGGTTTAATTGTCAGAGCTGGAATCTCTTGTGAACAGTTCACAAAGCTTTGGTGAAGACACACATGTGGAAAGATGTAGCTGGTTTATGGCCGGCTTTTGTTCAGCAGAAACGAGCAAATAGAGAATTTGTAAAGGGTCTCTCTGGCAATAGGAAATGCTGATCCGAAGCCTCGGTCAGAAGTTAGTAGGGATCTGCAAGTCCAGTGTGAGTCCAGGGTATGGAGCCGATACAAGCAGCGATACTGTAGAACTAATTGGGGATCCTGGGTGCCCTGTTAAAGTAACCCTTGTCATCATTTATGCTAAAGATGATACCCTCCTGGCAGTGTGCCACAGTACTGTTCAGATGCATCTGTTTTTAACCCTTTTCTGTAACTGTTGGAAATCTGACAGTGCACTGCCTTAATACCTTGAGTGCCACTGCAGCTGGCTTCCAGCTTCTAGACCAAGCCTCTTTCCCAACAGTGGTGTGGCCTGTGCCACTGAGTTACGGCAGTGGGTGAAAGTAAGGCATGGAGGAGCATCAGGCCCATGTAGTCTGCTTCTGGTGCAGCTCAATAAGGCTGGCTTTCCTTTTCCTCTCTGTCATTGTTACCATATTTACTGTAACAGAAACTGTTAATGTTAAAGACTCGGGCTGCTGTCATGTCTTTCCGCAGGTAGATGGAATGGGTAGTCCAAGAAGTGTAAGCTTTCTACATTATGTGCACTGAAACAATGTCTATGAGTGCTGGCTTGGTTAAGTTTTGTGTTCCTTTTTTGGAACCAGTTAGAGGAAATACTGAAAAGGGCAGAAAAATAATTGTATAGTCAGATAATTTGGACACAAGCAAGTGAAACCTGTTATTAGCAGAAGCCTGTATTCGGAATGAAGGTGGTCCTATGAAGACAAGTGCAATGAGCTCTCTTGCATCCTGTAAAGTCCTTGCAGCAAATTACACCAGACACTTATTTGTCTCTCGTCAGCATTATTGTCTGGTCAGAAAAGTAATTCTGCATTCACTGCTCTGGAAGATGAACTGTTAAAATGAGAGGCGAGCCCATGTTACTATAGGACCAAGTTCAAATAAAGGCAATTCAAGCATTTCCTTTGGAACTTTTAAACAGTGAACGGCTGCATGTTTGTGTGTGCCTGTGTCTCCCGAGACTGCCTGGGAGGCTCTGTCGATCCTCTCACTGTGGTGAGGGTTTATTTTCATAGCTTAGGTGTCCTCCTCTAGGCTGCTTCTGAAGATTGTTGGTTTTCTGTCTTTTTCTCTGTCTTTTTGATAGGAACCATGCTACCAGTTTTCTGCGTGGTGGAACATTATGAAAACGCCATTGAGTATGATTGCAAGGAGGAGCATGCGGAATTTGTGTTGGTGAGAAAGGATATGCTTTTCAACCAGCTGATAGAGATGGCATTGCTTTCTCTAGGCTATTCACACAGCTCTGCTGCCCAGGCCAAAGGTAAATGATGCGCTTGTGGGGCTGGGAAGTTCCTGGCCCTCCTGTTTGCCTCTCAGACAAAGCAGAGAACATTTTATTCAAAGAGCTGCAGCCTATGTTTAATGTTGGTTCCTTATAGACTGTGGCTTTAAAAATTGGCTTAATTCAGTTTGGTTTAGTTAACACACATTTTGCTCGTGTGGAATGTCGAGGTAAATTTTTTTTTTAAATTACTTCAGCTGAATCATTAGTATGCTTATTGACCTTAATAATCTGCTCCACTGAGGACCCACAAGGAAGTGAGGAGCGTATTTGAGCAGATGGACTGTTGAGAGTCAATTTGCATTTATGACTGAATATCTAGTTCTGTTTCTTTTATTCTGTTTCTGATGGTTTTATGGGCTGTAAAGTATTTTTCAATGTTGATTCCCACTGCAATAGGGAATCTTATCTAAATCATAAAGCCATTTAGAACCGGCTCAGCTATGTCTTATTAGAACTTCCTGTTAAGTTAGGACAATGTGGCCTGATGCATAGGTTTTATTGATGGGTATTTACTTCCAAAATAATAAACAACCCCTATAGTCATTTACATAATTTCTCAATTTGGAAAGCTAAGCTGGGAATATCTTCATTGACCTGCCTTTTGAGGGAAGGCAAATCATTCAAACAGAAATAACAATATTGTTTGTGGTGGGACCAGTGCAGAAGAGCACGGCACCCTTTTGCTAGGTCTGAGAGCCAGCACTGAGCGTGTCTCTTTATCTGCACTAGGGCTCATCCAGGTTGGGAAGTGGAATCCAGTTCCACTGTCGTATGTGACAGATGCCCCTGATGCTACAGTAGCAGATATGCTTCAAGATGTGTATCATGTGGTCACACTCAAAATCCAGTTGCACAGGTGAGTCCAGGCAGCAGTTCTAAGGGGAGATTTTTCTCCCTACCTGTGGACATAACCAGCTTGCAGTTTTTGTTTACTCAGCATTTGAGACATGCTAATGCAAATTAATTTGGTAACTTTACCCCTTCTGCTATTTTCTCCAACTTCAATGTATGACTTTAAAATCAACTCCCTCCCTTGAAATTTCTGCATTTTTTGCATGCTATCAAAAGATAAGACCTTTTTACTTTTAGTCAATTAAATGATGCATTACAAGAAGGCATTTTACATAAAGTTTACTTAAGAAAAAAATATTTTTGCATATCATGAACAGTGCCATCTGTGTACATTTTGTGAAAGAATGCTTTATTCGCTTTGCCATGATCTTATTTACTTATATCTGTATTTTTGCCATTTTAATTCGTATGAACAGAGTAGTGGGAGGAAATCAGTTAATACGTTAATGCTTTTCACAGTGGCTCGCGAGAAAGCAGTACACCTTAAATTGTCTTCCCAAGCGCATCAGAGCAGGAAGGTAGAAGTAACATGAAAAAATAGCCACCACAGGCAGCTGATGTATAATTCATGCATCGATACAGCAGATGTGTTGTATAAAGTAATTAACTAATCGGAACAATCAGGAGACCGAGAGCAATCTCCAGATGCATCTGTTTGATTCGCAAAATGAAATCTGTCTGTCTTAAAGGAATGTTCTGCAGCAGGATGCAATCCTGTAATAATCCCCTTTCTAATCTATGTCTCAAATAGTTGCCCCAAACTAGAAGACTTGCCTCCCGAACAATGGTCGCACACCACAGTAAGGAATGCTCTGAAGGACTTACTGAAAGATATGAATCAGAGTTCGTTGGCCAAGGAGTGCCCCCTTTCTCAGGTACTCAGCATAGTATGTCATAAATAATAAGACATTATGGGCAGCTACCACTTGAGGTCTGATGGGGATCCCTGGCTTCAAGCAACTGGTATCTGAAGCAAGAATTTGCTAAAAATGCTAAGTGATTTGACCACTGGTAACCTTTGAAAATCTGCCTTATCCATTCTGAAGAGTTTATGTCCTTTCTCCCTTGGGGCAAGGGAGGGGGCTGTGCCCAGGAAAAACAGTCCTGCAAAGGACACCAAACTGCTATCTCCTTTTAGATCCACTGTTGAGTACCCCAACCTGTCTGTAAGGGAGACTAGCAGGGGTAGGACCCCTTCAGCTTTGGTTTATGGGTGATAGAGTCAGTGTTTCTGTGCACTGCTTCAGCATGCTGCTTACATAAAATCATGGTACCATTATATGGTGTTTGAAAGTGTTTGCTGAAAATAATTGTAAATTATGTATGTATGTTAATTATAAATATAAGAAATCTCTTGCCTGGAACAAAAGGTCCATAATTATTGCCCATTAGGAGTTTATAACCAATTTTGAAGAATTAGTTCACTTTTTTTAAAATGTATTTTTTTTTCCTTTGAGATGCCTGTTTCACCATTAGGGATTTTTGAAACGAGACAGGTTTATTATTGTTGCATTTTATTTTCTGGAATGAATTTTGGTAGAGGGCAACTAAAACTCTAGGTTGTTGCCAAGTTTAAAATCAAGCATCCTTTTTGATGACACTGAGCTGGCTGGTGGCACCAGGGAGTGTGGTGTGGTATTGCTCCCCAGCATCCTCACCTCTGGTATGGTCATTTTAGGATGCAGTATTAATTGGTGTGCTTGTCTGAATATTCTTTTCATTCTAGTTTAAAATGTGATTGTGAATATTAGTCTACCAGTTGTTTGAACTTGTATTACTCTGCATAAGCTTTTCTGGAGCGAAGAGGGTCTCAGAGCTTGTTTTTATGACACTGAGTAGTAGGTATTTGTTCCATGTATTTTTAGTGCAAGGCTCATGAGGATTCCTGGGTACCTGGAGGGGAAGCCTGTGGGCCTCTGCTTCTGCTCCTAGCAGTTCATGCTCGCAGCCTTGCTCCATTATAGGCCTGCAGCTCTGCTTTGATGTTATTAAATGTTTGTTTTCTTGTGTTTGAGAGCAGACTTTTAAAAAAATCAATTCATTTATTCCATCAGCAAAACTATGTATCTTATTGTTCTCACCCTTAAAATAGAGAGGATGCGAATTTATAACCAGAAAATAAAAGTAATTTCAATAAGTTTATAGCATTTAAATCAATCTGATGGTATAATGAAGCAGAGTGACTGACTTCTGGGACTATGTTGTGAAGACAACTCCGCAGAACATGTTGCTTGCTTATTAGCATTTGAAAATTAGAAGAGTGACCTAGAATGAACCATTTTGTTGTTGTTATTGTTTTTACTCAGAATTCTAAACACCCCATGTAGCAGTATCCTGTGTCATCATGTGACCCAGTGTCCCAGTGATTTGGGAAGTCAGCTCAGGCAAAGACTAGAGGTCTGCTGTCTGAGTTGGGGACCAGGGTCCGGTGCAAGTATTTATTGTACAGTGACATTTGCCCAGTGAACTCCACCTCTTGTACCTTATACATCAGTTATGGATTTGCTTAATGCCACCATGAGAAATGACTTGAGCATAGGCAGTTATCACTGTAAGCAGAATGAAAAAGGAAATCCAAGGCTTAGTCTTGGAGCTGTATACTGGTGAATCAATCAATCTTCCTTTTCCTTTCCTTTCCTTTCCTTTCCTTTCCTTTCCTTTCCTTTCCTTTCCTTTCCTTTCCTTTCCTTTCCTTTCCTTTCTCTGCCTTTTGGTTAGTTTGGCTACAGATTTGTCTATCTTGTTGATCTTCTCAAAGAACCAACTCTTTGTTTCATATTTGGTTTGTCAAGACATGGTTTCTCTGTGTAGCTTTGGTGGCTGTTCTGGAAGTTGCTTTGTAGACCAGGCTGGCCTTGAACTCACAGAGATCCACCTGCTCTAGTGAACTTCTAAAGAGAGATCTTCAGAGAGGCTGAAGGGCCCTTGTGTGGCTGGAGGACCCCATCACCATTGCTAAGTGACTGACCTGGGCTGAATTGCAACCTGAGCTACAGTGGCAATCTTCCCTTTTCTAAAAATATCATTGGAAATAATCATGCATATGTTAGCAAAGCAACAGATACTGGAAATTAGTATTTGAAAAGACTGAACTCAAAATGAAGTTGTTTTTTTTTTTCCCTGAATTCTCCAACATCATCTTCTGTTTCTTTAGAATAGGTCCATGAATCTGTTATTCAGAAAGTTTTCATTATTAGCTACTTCCCTTTTGTTTTCGTGGTAAAGTTAGGAAAGATGAGTGATAAAGGCTTCCTAACACCTACCCCCAAAATATATACTGTGTTTGAAGAAACTCCTCTTTCCTCTGAGGTTTGGTGATATAAATACTATGTAGAAAACTGCTTAGCAAATAAATACTGTTCATGTACAAAATGCAGCCCGATTCTCCCATGCAGTTTTTGATTCATTAATGTGGAAACATTTAGCACATATATGTCACTATATGGACTTTAAGGGTTTTACTAAATATGTTAAAATAGTTAAATAGTTTAAAAACTAAAGGGTTTTGTTTTAATATGTTAAAATATTCCAGTAACGAGTGGCTACAAGATCCCTAAATAGTATGTTGAGTGGAAAATCTATTGCTTGTAGAGACAATGTAGGGGATGAGTACTGGGGAGCAAGCCCTACTTCCAGCATGCAGGAGGATTGGCTGATACTTGCTAAGCAAATGTTCTGTTGAACCTGGAGTCTTAGAATTAGAAGGGATTATCTTTGCATGGGCTCCTCCTTTGACAGTGTTGGATCTGGTGTCCCTATAGATTAAAGTCAAGCTGCACTAATGACTGACCCCATTTGCTCTGTCTGTGTCCTTGCCCAATGGTACATTTAAAAATAGGTGTTGATTTTTACAATGGGTGCTTAGGTTTTGGTGCAACAGTGTTTACTCCGATATTTCTAAGGGTTTCTCCAGCTGCAAAGAGATTCCGTAAGTGGTACGTGGCTTGATTTACAGCACATGCCTTTATTTCTGTTAGTACTTTCCTACCATAAATCTGTGGAAGCAGAGTGACATGTGTTTATTAAGTTCTCTGTATCACGTGCTTTTTTATTTTTGTGAAATGTTCTAGGATGTTGAAAATGCTTAGCTCATTATAGATCTGAGATTGGATGCTTTGTTGTTGCTTTTGCGTTTTTTTCCAGTGGATGTGGTTAGATAGGTCGGTTGTTGCATTCTGAATGGCAACTACATAGAAGAAAACAGTTTGATTCTGGAACAAAAAAGCCTGTTGTCATGAAACTTTTGAGGGTTATCGATTTAGGATGTAAATTGGGAGTTGTAAAAGTAAATATTTTGATTTACAATAAAACATTAAATCGGTTGCTTGTTTTCCCTAGAGTTTTAGATACTGAATTTAATCAAACATTAGATAAATATATACATTGCTACAAGGACAGATTATTTTGTGAAAGGTACCATAAGTAAAAGGTCATTTGTTATTCCTGACTTATTAATAATTCTTTCTAGAAATGTTGAGGTTGGACATTCCTGATTTTATTTCAGCCTGCTTTGTTGGATTTTTTTTAAAAACTCCCCTCCTCCATTCCATCACACTTGGTGGTGCTCACGTGCATGCACACATTGCTCGTTCCTTATTTTTTAAGGCATTGGGACTTCTGTTTCATTTTTTACCTGGAGAAAAGATAGCTCCAGGTCGCCAAGTCCTAAGTAAAATAAATTGCCATTTTTATTTTCAATTCACAAAGACATAGAAATAGGTTGAGCACTCCATCTAGAAAATCACACGAAGGGGATGATTTCTCAGCTCTCCTTCTCCTGACAGTATCTTTCCAAGAAATCTTGGATTTTCAAATTATTATTTTCAGTTGCTTTCAAGACAGACAGTAAAATACTGTCTTCTGACAGTCAGCCTGTAAGTAGGCTGGTTCCTTGAGCCTTGAGTCATCTCCATAGATATTTGATAAACTTAGCTCTCTTGGTTTTCTGTCAGCAGATAACACCGTGAATCTGGTGTTAAAGTAGTGTATGAAAAGAACACTTTTCTAAAGAAAAAAAACCAAAAAAACCTAACCCCTGTACTTTGTTTTTGTAGCTATATGGACTGCAATGACGTGTTTCTTAACTTTTGAAATATTAATAGTCATATTCTTCTCTGAGAGTATCATCAGTATTCATATATCACATTTCACATAACACTATGAAGTCTATTCACATATTAATACATTTGTTCATTCCAAAATATATATTAAACTTTTAAAGCATATTGACAGGCTGCCAGTGTGTCAGGCATCCTTCTAAGTAGCTGAAAAAGTAGTGTGTAGTTAACTCTGTGGTGTTTTTGATGTGCCCAGTGTCTCTCATGTCTAGCCCCATGTTGACATGAGGAACCTCAGGCACAGAATATTTGCATGGTGCCCATGGCAAGAATAGACGGTGTAGTAATTTCCTACTCAGACCCCAGGAGCTAAACCCAGGGTCTTTTTGGTTACATACACAGATAGTTCCAGGTGTTCACCACACTTTTGGAGTTCTGATACGTCTTTGAAGGAATCCACTGAGTTTACACTAACTGGGGAGAGTTTTCTCTCACAGGGTTTTGTGTCTTTGGGTTTTGTGTATTGGCTGTTTTAGGGCATGGGTGTGGGTGTGAGGGAGTGGTTTAGGTCATAGGGGTGGGGCTTCCGGGTGGGACAGCTGCTGGATAAGACTGTTTTGGGAAGGTCCAGAGTTCTAAGTGTACAGTCCTCAGCTCTGGTCACAACCCTTCTCATCTGCAGGGTCAGTATGTTTGGTTGAGCCCACGATGACCTTTGATTTGAAGCCCAGAGTTTAGCATTTTAATTGGATTGAGTAGGCAGTTAAATTTCTCAGATTTGTTGCGCAGTGCAAGCCTTTTGTCATCAGTTGGATCTA